TAACTAATTAATTATCCTAGCTAATTAATTACAACACAATTGAATAACTAGCTACGCGAAGCTAATTAAGATATTACAAACAGATTAAACTAATTAATTACAACACATGTATTAATTAGCTACAACTAGCTACTAAAGCAATAAAGTGGCCTCGCGGGCTTGGGAGACATGCATACTCGGTTGGCTTCCTCCCGAAAATCGACCACCTTGCCTTTGGATACCTCTGTTTGCACTTTGCTTTGATCTCTGAACATCGTACCAATTTCCAAACTGCTTCTGCCCCAACACAGGAACATTTTGAACAACTTTTCCACTGATGGCCGGTCGGCTACCATAGGTGGCTGTTGGCCACTGCTACTGACCGGTCGGCCATTGTTTATGGTGGCCGATCGGCCACCCTTTCCCCGGAATTCTCCATTTTGCTACAAACAGAGAGCAAACAGAGGCAAAACAGTGTATTCTCAAACAATATATGTACCATTACTCTCCTTATCATTTCTCAAGCTCAAAGGAGTGTAATTCTTAGCTCTCAAGCCACCAATCAAGCATTTTCAATGCATGATGGCCAAAGAGTCAAGCTTGTACAAACTCAATGAATGCACAAATAAGACTCGAAACAACCACCACCCTATCATGCATGATCAAGGGTGACGGTGACTAAGAAAAGTGGCACGTTTCATCACTTTGAGTATGAAACATCTCATTTTTCTTGTGCTTGGATTAACGTTCGATCCAAACATATGCAATGCAACACAACATGGTTAACTTGCTCAAGTTTTACTTGTCATGTTTTATTTACACATTTTAGCATTACAAAGCCATTCTTTAGTCAATTTGTCCAAGGTGAGAGTCCTTTAATGAGAGAGGGGTCAACCAAAGGATGGTTTGAGACATGAGAGAGATCATGCCTTTGGCTAAGAGGAACCCTCAAAAGAGAGTTAAAGCCATTGAGCACAAGTTCTATCTCAAGCTTAAACACAATCATAAGGTTAACCAACCCTCAAAAAAAATGAAAAAAATAAAGAAATGAGGGAGGTTGCAGAATTTTTAGTACTGAAATGGCATGCAAAAGGCACTACAACATGTAAGCAACTCATGCACAACATGTTCAAAAGCCAAAAGCATTAAAGCTAGTGAAGAGCACTACACTAGAGGCATGTAATATCAAGCTCAAATGACCAAACTAGCTCTGGACATAGCTAAATCATGCCAAAACAGTGGCTAAAACATGCTGAGATTGAAGCATAAAAGGCAAGAAAAACATGCTCACATGTTGGCTCACAAGCAAGGCTCATAATAAAACTCTCAAAAGCAATGAAAGAGTGATATATGTGAGAGTGTGACAGTGATATATGCACTGAAATCACATGTCAAATGATGTTATATCAAGCAAACAACTTAAATACTTCATGCTCAAAGCCTCAAAACAATAGATTCGTGAAGACCATTACACTCTAGCCATGCAAACCAAGCCTCAAAGGACTTAAACAACCCAAAACAGATTTAAAGCATGTCAAAACAATAGCTAAAATGTACTGGAGTCAAGCTAACACTGGGTAGAATAATAGGCTAACTCATTAGACATGCTAGACTAGTAAGCATAATTGCACTACAAGCTCAAGAAGCAAGCAACAAGTGCTCCAACCAACCAAAAATAGAGTCGATACATGTCAAAATAGAGCCTAAAACATGCTTGAAATAAGCTAACACAAGCCACAAAAACATACTACTTTGTAATGCTAATTAGGCATGGAAGAGAGAGACAAGGAGGGGAGGCTAACCCCTCCATTTTTGGTCCTTAAAACATACTTTTTGCCACTGAAATTTCCCTGGAATTCAGTGGGTAAAAGGCCAAAAAAAGTTTTTTTACAAGCTTTAAAAAAAGACACAATACTCAAGCAAACAAGCTATAAAGAGGGTGAACCACCCCTAACTCCAAAACAAACCTCAAACCATCATTTGTTACCTTAAAAATAGAGTTTTTTTAGAGGTTAAAACCAGCCTTCAAATAGCATGCAAAGGTGGCCAAACAAGTAACTAAAACAAAACTTAAAAGGGGGTACGACTATACCTTTCAAGCACAACAACAAACAACAAAAATTCTGAGCCAAAACCAAGCTTAAGACCTCAAACCAAGCTTTAAGGGACCTCAGCTCCAAGGTAAAGGTGTTTGGCTAAGGGTCTTAGTGCAAATGTGTAGAGAAAACTCACTTTCAAGCACAAAATAGGGAGAAAGAGAGGATTCAAGAGAGAGAGAGGGCAAATTTTGCTCACAAAATTTTCTAACTCCAAAAATGGGGGAGAGGCCTTCCCTTATATAGAAAAACAAGCCAAAGACTTGCCTTCATCCTTCCATACACGTGTATGGAGATGAGTATCAGTGATCAACAGCTGGCACAACTGGCAAATAAATATTTGAAAAAGGAGAAAAATGGCCGTCGGCCATCATTAGTGGCCGACCGGCCATAAATGTAGCCGACTGGCCATCAACATAGTCGACCGGCCACCACTAGTGGCCGACAGGCACAAGTGATGGCCGGCAGGCTAAAGGGATGGCCGACAGGCCACCATTTCCTCCAAAAGTGAAGCAACAAGCTCTTGGTCCGCAACCAAGCACAAAACAGACAATACAAGAGGTTCCGAGGCAAGGCACTCAGTCAAGACCTTTAGGGACCCAAAACGAACATGAACAAATACAATCATCAGATGTTCAAACGATGACGTCCAAGTCTTGAGGACGGTAAAAAATGGGGTGTGTACACCAGATCTAAAGCCACAAATCTCACTTGTTTCACTGTTTCCTCTACCACTAACTCCACTGCTACTGTTGAACCTCAAACCTATCAAGAGGCTGCTGTTTCTCCTGCTTGTCAAAATGCTATGTTAGATAAGTATGCAACTCTCCAAAGACAGGGCACTTGGTCTTTGATCCCTCTCCCTCCTGGTAAACAAGCTATAGGTTGCAAATGGGTTTACAGAATAAAGAAAAATTCAGATGGCACCATAGCCAGACATAAGGCTTGACTAGCAGTTAAAGGTTTTCTTCAAACAGAGGGTGTGGACTATTTTGAAACTTTTAGTCCTGTGGCCAAACAGCCCACTATCAAAGTTCTTCTTTGTCTTGCTCTGCATTATAATTGGTCCATTAAACAACTTGATATTTCCAATGCCTTCTTGCATGGTGTTCTAGAGCAAGAGGTGTACATGACTCACCCACAAGGTTTTATTCATTCCACTCAACCTTCTCTTGTCTGCAAGTTACACAAAGCTCTCTATGGTTTAAAACAAGCTCCTAAAGCTTGGTTTTCTACATTTTCTACCTTTCTTCTTTCTCAAAACTTTGTTGCCAGTCACTGTGATTCTTCATTGTTTGTTCAAAAGACTTCCACTTCCATCACTATTCTTTTCATCTATGTAGATGATATTCTCCTCACAGGTAGTAATCCTCATTACATTCACACTCTTATTCAGCAAATGCATACTACATTCTCCATGAAGGAACTTGGTTTTATTAATTGCTTTCTAGGTATTTTTGTCATCCAGTCTTCCTCAAGTTATATTCTTTCTCAATCCAAATATGCATAAGATATTTTGGCCAAAGCTGGCATGCAAAATTGCAAACCTTATGCCTCTCCTATGGCTGCTAAATGTTCCACTTTCTCTTTTGAAGCTGTCCTACCCTTTTCTCAACCTTCTCTTTATTGAAGCTTGGTAGGTGCTCTTCAATATCTCACTATCACTCGACTAGATTAGGCTTTTGTAGTCAACACTGCTTGTCAGTTCATGCAATCTCCCTTAAATTGTCACTTTGCTGTTGTGACAAGGTTGCTTAGATATGTGAAAGATACTTTGGCTCATGGTCTGCATTTCTCTCATGGTCCTCTTCTTCTTAATGCCTACTCTGATTTAGATTGGGCTGGTAGTACTCTTGACAGAAGATCTATAACTGGATATTGCATTTACCTTGGTCCTAATCTCATTTCTTGGACTGCTAAGAAGCAACCTACTGTGTCCAGATCTTCCTCAGAAGCCGAATACAGAGCTTTAGCTCAAACTTTAGCCGAACTCTGTTGGCTTGGCATGCTTCTTATTGAGCTTTATGTTTCTGCCCCTGTTCTTGCTCTGTGGTGTGATAACCTTTCTGCCATTGCTATGGCTCATATCCTGTTTTTCATGCCCATACAAAGCATATTGAGGTGGACTATCATTTTGTTCAAGAAAAGGTTGCTGCCAAGTCTCTACACATTGCTTATATTCCTACTACTGATCAAATCGTAGATATCTTCACTAAACCTCTCTCAGTGGCTCGCTTTCAATACCCTCAAAGCAAACTCTTAGTCCTTCCCAGTCCTATGAGTTTGAAGGTAACTAATAAAGACTCTGTTGCTGCTAGCTCATCTGTTAAGTCTCAAGATCAAGCAGTTCAAGAAGCTCAACTGGTTCAACCCTCAACTGTTGCACCTGCACTATCAACTATTGCACCTGCACGTGTATCTCTAATTAGTTAGTTTGTTAGAGATATTAATCAAAGCTGTTATGTTGTTAGAACAGTTAGCTAAAGATGGTTAGGTAGTTATAAGTCAGGTTAAGCTTAGGTTAAGATTGTATCACACTTGTATAAAAGCATTGTTGTAGCTCCTACTTCATTTTTTGAAAATCAAGATTAAAGATCTTCTCTATTCTCTTTAAATAGGACTTAACAGATCACTAAAAAAATTTGGACTATTGGAATACTTTTTTGTGAGATGGAATTTATTGGTAAATATCTCAAAGAAATATAGGCTACCGATAATTATTAGCAATTAAGCACGATAATGCTACATAATCAAAAAAAAAAAAATCCAAAAAGGTATCTAAAAATTTATATCAATGAACTACATTTATTGTCACATTTATAACTCATATCATACCAACTTTAAATATGCTATATAAACCTCAATTTCAGAATAATTATCAAGATATAAATTTTGAATGCATAGCATTTTTCTGGTATTGTATTACATTTTGGAGTAGTTTTAAGTACTGCTAAACACCGTGTACGCGTAGTTTTGCTTATGGCACACTACGGCTACATCGCTTGCCATCTTCTTCACTCCTTCAACAGTGTATGTTTGCAAAGGGGTTTCTTTTTTGACTTCTGTGGAGATTTCTTGGATACTTTTCCCAAGCCTGAAACGGCAGAAATCGACCATGGACTCTAGTGAAGTCGCGCAATATTTCTCTTCTCCTTTGATTCCAGGCTTTTCACATTCTTTGATTGTTTGCTTGATTGTCTTGGCTTCCATGGAGTTGGGTTTCACCGAGAAGTAGTCAAGAATTTGTGGCATTTTCTTGGATGAAAAGGGTATTTTCTCGGCAACCTGGCGAGGCAAGAAAGTAGTTGATGTGGTGGTTTTAGTGAACTGCAATGTCATTTTTGTGTATTTTTTCAAGTCATTTTCCAAGAAGAAAAGAGCGATGTTGGGATTATCATGGAGTTGATCCACAGTAGTAGCTAAATTGTAATTTTTGTTTTCGGTGATCACAGCGACGCCTCCTTTCGCTGCATTGACGCTTACGCCGCCCTTTCCTAACCCAACTGAAGTGCTCTTATCTTCCATCCATTCTGCAAATTAAGAAGATAAAATTAAGTTTGAGGTTTGTGATGTTTTATCTCCTATGTATCTATTTCTCTCATCTCTTTCCTACCTCTTTGTTCTCTCCAGGAGGTAGTGGCTCATATGTTTTTCATCTATCTTTGTTTTTTTCTCTTTCGTTCTCTTCTGATTTAGGTGAAAATCGAGATAAAATTAATTTTGCCTAATCAACGTCCAAATAATGATTTCGTACTTTTTGTTTGAGTAAAAAAGTTAGTGGAGAAATTAATGCGTGATAATTAATTCTCTTTTAATGTGATTATAGGAATTTTTATTTGTCAATAAGAGAAAAAAAGATATGTAAACTCCAGAGATTTACAAACAATCCCTCAAAACAAGTTAAGTCACAGCGTGACCTTAATATCATCAAAGTATAATAGCAAAGAGGTAATGATTCAAAAATTAATGAGCATAAGTCTTGCATCTCAATAGCCGGTACTAAGGAGTCACTTTTGCATCTTTACTAGCAAGGCATCATCTTTTTTTTGAGTTGACAAACTTGATAAATTGAAAATGTTATAATTATCGGATCGATCTAATATTTTGTGTGAATAAAATATATAAAATATTTTTTAAAATAAATTATTCAGATTATCGAAATAGAATTCAAACAACGCCATAGACTGGAGAGCAACTGCCTCCTTTACAATTTCCCCTTGTTTTTACATGGAAGCAAATAGTGTTGAAAGTTACCAACTTAAAAAAAATAAAAAATAAAAAAAAAAAATAAAATGACAAAGAAGAAAGAAGTCTATAGCCAGAGGTGGCTCAACATTAAATAGGCCACTCAGTACTAGTCCAAGGCTTCTCAAGAAAATTTATAGGGTAAATAACAATTTAACCCCTAGTGATTTACCTAAAAAATACGGAACCTCTCTATAGTTTCATTTATAACACTTAAATCTCCTAAATTTTATAGTACGTTGTAATTTCTAATGGACGTAACAAAAGTGCACAAAACGACGTCGTTTTATGTATTGCCTGATTCAAAAAAAAAAAAAATTGATAAAGGAAAAAAGAAAAAAGGGGAAAGAGAGAGAGAAAGAGACAAAAAGAGTGAAAGTGAGAGAGATTGCAACTAGAGAGAGAGAGAGAGGGAGAAGCATATATATAACTATATGCATATACATGTTCATATAACTATATGTATATATATAACTATATGTTCAGGCTTACATATAATTATATACACGTGAGAGCGGTTTTTGAGTTAGAAAAATGGTTGGAGATTTATAATTTTCGCTCAAATAGATATCTAAATAATATGAAGTTGGAGTGTGAGATGAGGTAAAAAGGTAGACTATCAAGTATGGAGTTAAAAAAATATAAAGTGAGGGCATGTATATATATGTTCATACAACTATATATATATATGGAATGATTAGAGATTAGAAAACACACATACACACCCAAATTCAAATCCAAGACCACCAAAATAACTTCTCCACCCAAAGGGTTCTTGAATAATAAATATAAAAGAAAATGAAATCATAAACTTCTTCTTCCTGTATATATATACATGTTTATATATATTTCTCCATATATATGGAATGATTAGAGATCAGAAAACACACATACACACCCAAATCCAAATCCAAATCCAAATCCAAGACCACCAAATAACTTCTCCACCCAAAGGGTTCTTGATTATTAGACATTGAAGAAAATAAAATCATAAGCTTCTTCTTTCTGTATATATATATACATGTTCATATTTATGTTTCTCTTTCTCTCTCTGGTTGCAATATTTGTCTAACTCTCTCTATTCTTTTCCCTTTTTTTCTTTTTTCTTTTTTCTTTTTCTTTGTTTCTTTTTTGTTTTTGATCAGGCATTGTGCAAAACGATGTTGTTTTATGCATTTCTGTTACGTCCGTCAGAAATTACAACTTGCCATAAAGTCTAGGGGTTTAGGTGTTATAAATAAAACTACAGGGGGATTCCGTGTTATTTGAGTAAACCACAGGGGTTAAATTGTTGTTTACCCAAATTTATATATATATATATATATTATTTAAATCTTCATTTTTTCAAAGATTTTAATAAAATAAAATCTCATTTTAACATTTAATCTAAGATCTCAAATTTTTTTAAATGATTACTGCCTTGAGGAGAAGACTAACCAGGGTGTAAAAGATCCTTGACAGCCTTAGGCATAGGAGAGTTTGGCAGAACCGAGTTCCAGTATGCTTCAGGAGATAGAGTTGCATGACTTGCCACCAATGTCAACTGTATTAAAAAAATAAAAATCTCATTGATTAGCTTCTCATTTTGAATACCAAAAAAATTGCATTAACTTACATAAATACTTATTTATTAGGTGAATTATTTTTTGAAGACTATTTTAATGATTTTTTTTATTACAAAATAATTGTTTTGAGGAAGCAATAAAAAAATTATTTTCAAATTTCATAAATTGTTTTTAGGGATTTTTTTTAAGGTCCATGATATTAAAATTTTATAATATAAAGGACATACATATTTTCATAGTAGTTTCAAAATTTTCACAAAAAAAATTCGACTCAGAGAAATTTAGCCCGACTTACAGAAATTTCATTCCCGACATAGAAATTTTTTAATTTTCATAGAGAAATTTTGAAATTTCTTTGGTATGATCACAAATTCTTTTTATCGAGGGACCTTAGTTAATAAAAAAAACATCTTGGATCTCAAAGTTGGAGAGGCATGTTTCACTAATTTTTCTTTATTATTATACAAAATTGGAAATGATGTGAATGATGAATGTTTTCGAACTTTACATTATTTTTTGTTTTCAAAAACATAATAACTATAGTAAAGAAACAACATTTGCTGAGGATTACATGGACAAATTAGACACATGGACAGATTATAGAGCGATCCCGGTTGTCCCTTTACTGTTCTGTTGTATTCCGGACTCGGTTCCGTGATGTTGGTGGTGGTATACCTTGTTGTCATCCTTTAATTCCGCTTGATTGAGTTTTAGGATGTATTGGGCAGAGTTGTTACAGGTTGGTTGGGCTTTGGTTTCAATTCTTTGTTGCCCAGTTTTTAGGAGGTTCGCTCGAGTGGGTCTCGAGCGGGTCTTCTTGCGCTCGAGCGGATATTGCACACTCCCAGTATTTTGATGCTCTGCAGAACTTCTGCAAGCATGTTTTTCACGCTCGAGCGGGTATTCTGGCGCTCGAGCAGATGTATTCTGGCGCTCGAGCGGGTAGTAATTTTTGGTGTAAGTTCTGGGAGGGGGAAATCTATGCTCGAGCGGACTAGTTTTCGCGCTCGAGCAGATGTACTTTATTCTTGTGTCTTGGCGCTCGAGCGGTCCTTATTGTGCTCGAGCGGACCTAGCTTTTTGTTCTGGATGCTCGAGCGTTGTGTTCTCCGTTCGAGCGGGAATGTCATATATCAGTTGGCAGCTGTGCATTTTAAAATCACTTTTTACATTCTCTCTCTCTCTCTCTCTCTCTAAAAAAGACATTTTGAGAGTTCCTCTCTCTAGAAACTCCCTTCTCTCTAGGGTTTGATCTAGTTAGAGTGTTTCCTTTTCCTTCGGCCTTTGTAAAAGTTAGGTTGATCGTCGAGGGCTACACATTGATCCGAGAATATTGAGTTTTGGAGCACGTTGAGTTTCTTCATCTTCTTTCCTTGAGCTCCGAATTTGAGGTAGGGATTCCTACTCACTCTTATGGTCTTTGACCTAGATTTTTTGGTTGTTTTGATAAAGTGTTGAAGTTGGGTTAATTTTGGGACTTAGGGTTTCAAAATATTAAAAGAGGATTTGCTATTTTGAGTTAAAAATATGTATTGTGGGTTCAAAATAATAATATCGCTGTTGGTTGTTGATATTTAGACCATTGGGTCAATATTTGGAAATCGGGTGGAAAACCCTAATTTTGGGAAAATTGTGACTTTATGGAATTGAGTTGGAAATAATGAAATAGGTACGTTATATGGTTGAATAGTGGAGCTAGATTTATTAATCGCTCACTTTTGAAAACATTGATATTTTATCTGTTGGAGCTATTATTATCTGTTTAGAAATAATTGCTTGGACTACCGGTGGAGGGTAGTTTTGATTGTCGTAGACAATGCATGATGATTAGGCAAACTAAAACTAATCAATTGGACATGTCATAGA